GCTATCTTATACGGCCTTTATCCGGTTTTTGATCCGGTCCCAAACAGTTTTTACCTAAAATTTAAGCCCGAAAATTGGATGAGATTGTTTTCTATCCGGTTTCAGTCCGGTTTCGGGTAAAAAACCCTACTAGACATGGCTGTCTAAAATAGAATTCGCATAAGTGGGTAGTGAAGGCCAAGTCGTATGATATGAGAAGAGGGGAAAACAACAAACGGGTAACAATCAGGTGTCCATTTTTCAGCCAGAGAAACCAAACAAGCATTACCAAACAGATCACAGTTCCCTTCACATAAACCACTCGCCAACAATTGGCACTTTAAGCAACCCATAATATATGGTTTTTGTATCTGTACAAAACATGGCTGTCGTTGACAAACTGGCAGACATCAATCATCAACAAACAAAAAAAAACAAAAACAAAAAAAAGGAGAAAAAAGTGAGCATATTATGTACTCATATGTGAACATGGTCATACGAACACGATGAATCATCCATTTTTCTGATACTGACACAACGTACAATCGCATGTCATTACCTTCCATTATCGTCAGACATTAGCCTTCAATTAACCGATAACACTTCGTGGTGTTTTGTCGTTGTTGCTCGTGGACTAATAACACCAACAAAACCTAGCACCATGTTGACTGAGTTGTTGGCGAAGGTACTTTGCCTAAAATACCTCTGAATGTGATCACAATCCGAATTCCTAAATCAAGAATCTCCTTCCATTGAGATCGACTTTTGCAGGCGCTAATGCGTAAGGAACGCAGCAGCAAGCTTATAACAATATACTATTGCGTAGTGTGTTCATTCCATATCTTGTTTGGAATCTAATCATTGCTCAAAGGGAAAGTCTTTCTAATCATTGACACACTATAAAATGAGGATGAAGGAAAACGAGAGAATCTAATTATTGATAAGGTGGTTATATATAAACTAATAACAATCGCAAAATGAGAATACTATTTATAACTAAAGTTCCTGTCATACACAACGTTGCTACTATGGATGACAAACATGTCAACCATTTGTGTAACTTCAAGTGCAGGGAGTGGTAACTTCAACATTTGATTTGACACGATAATGATTATGTAAACAAATATCATTCACGACAATCTAACAACTGAGATAACACACATAATTGTCGAAATCAAACCGAATAAGAAGTATACCATCCACCGAACTATGGCCCATGACTTCTCTATTGAGTACTAGAGGAGAAGAGAAGAAAACTCCTCTGACCAAGAATAAGAGTGGGGTTAGAGAACATATCTTACTCAAAAGAATTATCTCCGTCTTTATACTCGACCCTACCATGGATAATTGGTGGCCTATATGTTCCCTATAATCAATTGAATACCAAAATGGGATCTAAATTGTGATTCTGATGCACAGCCTGGACTCTTAGGCAGATAAAATTATCAATGTGATATGGACAAACCACTAACTAACACAGGGTCGGAGCCTAATGGAACCTTAAAATTCAATATACCCTGTTTAAATTCGAACCTTGTAAAATGTTTGACTTAGCTTTCCTCAAGCAAAGATTCCCCCACTTCTTGTTTGAAGGAAGATACGAACCATTGCATTCCATATAAAGATTACACATATAGCAATAGTACACCATAAAAAATACTGACCTAGGATCCCATTAGTAGATGCAAATCTGGTCACTGAGTTACTCAGGCAAAGACTTCTCTATAACAGTCAAAGAATCACCGAGTTATCAAAGGAAAGCAGACTAACTTGTGCGGCTTCCTGAAGAGGTTAGTTTTTCCAGCTTAATCTACCGAGGCCTTAGGTTACGCTGCAAAGCAACAATATAGAAATACTAAGCCATCCGAGAAAATAAAATCCAATTCACACCATGATCCAATATTTTGATTATAATGGAGAGGAAATAGACAAAAACAGGCAGAAAAGGGACATACTCTAGGCCTGTCATTGAGATTTTGCGGTTGTCTATCTTGTGTTCTATCAAGATCTGGTATGAGCTGCTCATTCTCATGTCTATAAAATGCTTGTAGGGCTCTCCCAGAGAAGGCGCGGATTATATTCACTTCCATAGCAGCCATATTTTTCCACTGCAATTTTAAAGAAGAGTTCAATGAGATAGAAACCAGGTCAGAGCACGGCAACCGGAGAGGTAGTTCAACCAACAAGAATGAAAGAGTTGTGATCATGCTGGTTATCAACCGAGGCAATGCATACTGCACCATAAGGAAAATGGTTACTAAATGAAGGTGCACAGAATAGTAGCTACGTTACAATAAAGTTCCAGTACTACAGCGCCTAGGTGATCCATTCCTATCCCAGTTTTAAACTACGGCTCATGGGAAGTTATATGCAACAGTGGCCTAGTACTCTTAATATTTTTTCAACTATAAACCTATGGATTTGAACAAGTTGAGTTATATAAGTACCCTTTTGAGAACGTTCACGTGACTCTTTCATACAGCAATGTGGAGTAGTAAAAGGTGTACCGTTACTGCAGAAGCAGTGAAGTTTTCCAAGTTTGTCTCCACCTTATGAAACCTCACATCCCTGATGTCTTCAACGAGCGATCTCACCTACAGAGGTAACAAAACTACATCAAGCTCCTTAGTCCAACCAAATACCTAGCTTACCAAGAGAAAATGTTAGGCCAGAGTTCCGAACTTGCCATGTATATCTCAGGAATGTCATCTCGTGCACTGCCAACCAAAAAATCCGGAAGTTATGGTCAGATTCTCTACTTGGGCAATTCCATGTAAGAGCAACAGAGGTCGAGTAGTTACTGGTCAAAAAGAAGTCTGGAGATTTCAACATAATGGAAGGGCAATGACTGAAATGCATGAGACTCCCTTTCACCTTCCAGCACCTGAGTCAAGTTATCTGATTCACACACACAAAAAATCCACTATAAACCATCTCAAAATATGATTCGAAACAAAATGATGAGATCAGCACATTGAAATTGTATCTAATTGCCGCAAATCAAGAAACCCTAATTGACAGGAACAAACCGATAGACATCCACTGAGGAGGACGAATCGTGCACTTCCCTCGCTTCTTCAGCGCCAGAGCCAACCACAACGGAACCTGAATGGCTATTTGTGGGTAAAACGGGCCGTAATCCCCCTGAAACAATTACTGTTAATCAGTAATCTCCGAAACTTGAACAGTTGCAGCTAATGGGATGGGAAATTAGGGTTTCGAGAGAGATACACAGATGAAATTGAGGGAGTCCATTCTCAGATTCGGGACGATCTCGACCAACTCGTCTTCCGCCATGAACTCCACCTGCGAGAGTGCGAGGTAACAAATGAAACTTCATAGACTTATTTTACCAAGTGAAACCTGTGCCAGTCGAATCCTAGCGATGGACTAGATAGATGCCCGCAGAAAGCGAACCTCGTCGGGAGTGAAGAGCGAGAGCTGAGAGCAAGACTGGCCGGCCATTTCTTCAAGTCAGTTCGAGTGGGGATCGACTCGGAAATTTCACTGCGGGATGCCGGAGAAGATGAGGAGCGGCGGCTTGCTGGCTTGGGGAGTAGAGAAAGGTGGGAGGCGGGAAATGAAGAACCGGAAGAAAAAACTTAAAAACGTTGGCGGGCTGGCTTAAGGACGGTTTGACTGTGGAGAGAGAGATAAATTGCCCTTTCTAATTTATGGCTCTCGCTCCGGAATAAGGATCTGCCAACGGCCCGTCTGGTGACGCTGCTTTGGGCTGTGACGAGCCCAACAGTTAAAGCGCTACCTAAAACTATGTTGGGCCTTCTCTCTAAGGCCTAAGCAGCAAATGAACAAGTTGGCTTAGGCTTATAATGAAAACCAAATATACTTAGGCGTCGTTTGCAAGTTGCGATTGTTAAATAGATGTATTGTTGAGAATGCATGTATAATATTATATATGTATTGTCGAATTTGATGTATTGTAGAATACAACGTTTGGTGTGTGTGATTGTGTATGTCGCATCAGCTAAAAGCTGAGACAAAACAATCTCAACTCAACTATCTCAACAATCACAACTAAAAAGTTGAGATATAACAATCACTCAAAATAAGTGAGTTTCTGTCACATCACAGAAACAATCCATGTATTGTTTCTGCTAAAAAAACAAAAAAACAATGCATTGTAAACAATACATGCATAATGACAATCGCAACAAAACAATCGCAACTTCCAAACGACCCTTAGTTACATACATGCTTATCACCCCTACGGGCTACGACCCTGCCTCATAGAGTGAAATGTAAAGTTTTTTTAATTTTAGATGTCGCGTCTAGAATTATTATAATTTAATTTTAGATCTGTGAGATAATTGTAGATTATGTTTTTTTTTACCATTTTTTCTTATTATTATATACTTATATCTCAGGGGGAAAACGGTTACAGATTGGTAGTCCACATGGAAGATTGAGTCATTAGCCATCACCAAAGCACGAGTGGTCTCTAAAAATATACGGGTCGTTTGGTAAGCACGTAATGTAGAATTCATGTATTTGAAGAATTCATGTATATTGTAGGTTGAGTTGTGAGAACTTGTGTAATATTAGAATGCATTGTTTGGCTTGCATGAGTTCATGGTAGAACCCACATAATTTGGCATGAAATCTCAAATACTTTGGATAAACTCAAAGCATTTGAGATATCATGGTCACATGAATTTTAGAATTACATGATACACCAATATCATAATATCTGTCCAAAAATAAAACAAGAAAAATTGTGAAATCTCAGATATCCTGTAATTATGAAATCCGTGGGTAGATTACATGCTTACCAAACGACCCTAAAATAAAAGAAGGAATACGTTTATTAAAAAAAAAAAAAAAAAGAAGGAATACGGAGCCGGCCCATCACGTTAAGCAACAGTACACCACGATCGCCAACACTATGGGCCTACCTTACCCGCTCAAGAAAAACCGTTTGCTCCTCTTCCTCTCTCAATATACCCATTTCCCAATCTACCCTCGACCAATGCCATGAAAGAATACTCGCTGAACGGGGTCACAACCGTCATTCTCTAATTCTGACTTATCTTCTCAGGGTGCGCACCTGGTATGGTTGATATTTCATGATCCTTAAAACCGTCTAACGATCACACATATTTAAAAAAAAAATCCCCCCGAAGCCCTTTTTGAGAAGCACAGATTATCATCGCCGAGCAGCAGAACAAGAAGTAGAGGAAGAGCCAATGGCAAGGAAGTTTTTCGTCGGCGGAAACTGGAAATGCGTGAGTCTCCGATTTACCTTTTGTTTTCGCGATCGTTACTTAGCTGAGTGAGCGTGATTCTGCCGTTCAATGGCAGACTGTATTTTTGTGTCGTAGACTCGTAGGATCAGATTGGTTAAGCGATTTTTACCGGTTCTAGATGATGCTTTTCTTCGTTAATCTGTTAGTCTTGCCTTCCGCGCTTATGGCGATGGCCGTGGTATTGTTTCTGTTTTTGGTCTAATTTTGATTTGATTCGCACAGAATGGAACTACTGAGGAAGTGAAGAAGATAGTCTCCACTCTTAATGGAGGCGACGTGCCCAGCCCTGATGTTGTTGGTAAGTAAATGCTTTAGCTCCCTGCCTTGATCTTGCGAAGCTCTTGAACATATTGCAGAATCGAATTCACTTTCCGTTTACTATTGGTGAGTAGCTGTGATGATTGTGGTTGAAATCATGTTCATATTGCAGAGGTCGTCGTGAGCCCTCCATTTGTGTTTCTTCCTTTGGTGAAAACAACGTTGAGGCCAGATTTCCATGTGGCTGCACAAAATTGCTGGGTGAAGAATGGAGGTGCTTACACCGGTGAGGTTAGGTATGGTTCAATCTGCTCTCTAGAGTCTATTTAGTTAGTTAGTTAGTTTTAGCCTTGGCTGTCATGTTTTTCGTTTCTGATTGTTTACTGAACTTTCGTTATCTTGTCTAATCCTGGAAATTATGAATCAAAATGTGACTGTGACCAGGCTTAATGGAACTACTTCAAGCTGATTCTTGTTGTTTGATGGATGTTTACTAAAATGAAACTCCATTCGACAGGATTTGCTTTGTTTTTTTACCAAGATTGTAAACCCTGCTTGTTTATGTGTAGTGCGGAGATGCTTGTGAATTTGGACATTCCCTGGGTCATCCTTGGACATTCTGAGAGGAGGAGTCTCTTAAAGGAATCAAATGATGTAAGCTGTAGGGTTTTGCATGTCCCATCCTAGCTCAGGATCAGATGATTGATGGCTATAACACCATGATTGATTAGTAGCTTCCACTTTTCTTCACTTGTTTGACACCAAGTTATAACTTATATTCTGATTGTACTACCTTCCAGTTTGTTGGGGATAAGGTTGCTTATGCACTTGCTAAGGGTTTGAAAGTGATAGCTTGTGTTGGTGAGACTCTTGAGCAAAGGGAAGCTGGATCCACCATGGAAGTTGTTGCAGCTCAGACCAAAGCAATAGCAGGTAAATGACTGTTCCTCAGTAGGCCAAAGTGAGGAGAAATCTGCACCTTTATTTTCTGCCTTTTTTATTCCTTATTGATGTGCTGTTCTTTCTTGCTAATGCCTGGCTTAGGAGGCATTACATGTTACCATTACAATTATTCACAGTTGTGATTCATTACCTGTTTGGTTTGTTTGGCAGAGCGGGTAACAGATTGGACTAATGTTGTGTTGGCCTATGAACCTGTGTGGGCAATCGGGACAGGAAAAGTCGCTACCCCTGCACAGGCTCAGGAAGTAAGCTCAATTTTCTGTTTCTTGATAGTGTGGTTATGTGGATGGGACCGCCTTATGTTCTTTCGCTTGGTTCATATTGAATTACTCTGACCTATTCGTTGTGGCTGGAAACTACTGGTTTTAAAACTGGAACATGGAACTTTCGCTAAGTGATCATAACCATCATTGAGCTCGATATAGATCACTCATCAGTAACTTGATATCGAGTACCAGCCCTGAAAGTGGTGACGATGTAGTAGGGAAGGACAATGTGATTAAACTTGCTCTTGCCATAATGCTAGGTACATTCGGAACTGAGGGACTGGCTTCAAGCAAACACCAGCCCTGAAATCGCATCAACGACTAGAATTATCTATGGAGGTAACATTTTACTCCTCTAATTCTAATACACACGTGGGAGTCAACCTGGTCATTCTCACAATCGAAAATTATGCGAAAGATGCTACATTTCTGCTGTGAATTGGGGAAGTACAAAGGAAAAAGTGAATTGGCGGCTTTCCTCTTAATTTGCCTGACCGTTGTGAAATCCACGCTAAATCCAGGGTCAGTCAGTGGCGGAAACTGCAAGGAACTGGCAGCCAAGCCTGATGTTGATGGCTTCCTGGTCGGCGGGGCTTCTCTCAAGGTACAGAATCATGACTGGTTTCTTCAACTTCAAAAACACTGCAGCGCATGTCCACATGATTTCCTGCCTTGCATTGCATAATTGTTGACTCTCTTTGTCTTTTGTTTCCCTCACTCGTTCTTAACAGCCGGAATTTATCGACATCATCAAATCAGCTGAGGTGAAGAAAAGTTCTTAAAACTTTGGCATCAGCTCTCTAGAAGCTGACCAGTGTGGTGGATATGGTTAATACGTATCCTAATCATAATGATGTACGAATTGAGTTAATAAGTTGCAGTGGTTTGCAGCGAGACCCTTACCTCTAAAGTCTCTCATCAATTCTCTTCGGCTCTGCCATTGAGAGAAAGGCCAAGCTTTGACCGTCTTGTGTGCCGTGACTTTTCACGTGTGAATCCTGACTTGCTTCTGTATTGTCTGGGTGAATTGTGTATTTACATTTTTTGCTCTCTATAAATGTGCATTTACTTGCGGGGCGACTCGATCGAAGTCCAACTGTAATTTTCTCATAACCAAAGTCGTGCAGTGTTTTTTCATGTTATTTATTATCCAGACATCCACCTGCATGGCTTCATTTATATGGCGGAATTGCTTGTCCGGTCGGGTGAATGAATAGGTGGGTTGGCTCAGTTAGGTCGAGGTTATAAATAGCAGACCTCTCGGATCCTCTTTAGAGAGCTTCGATTTTTGTACAAAATGAGAAATAGATAGATTGTTTTAACCAGGAGAGCTTCGATTTTTTTACAAAATGGGAAATAGATAAATTGTTTTATCCGGGAGATGACAATATGTCAGTCTGTTGTGCGCAATACCTGACAGTGTTAGCAATGTTTTAACCCTATTCCACTACCCATCTAGATTGATACCCTAATATTTTGTTCGGTTTCTAACATTGCCCAGGCATTATCGTTCCTAACAATCACTTATAGAGATACATTCCTCACCATAGCTAGGCAAACTGAGCAGAGCTGGCTTGATGACTCTCTTTTTGGGCAGGCTGTTAGCCTGTTAGAATGAAGAAGTCAGATATTGACTTCCTGGTAATTCCCAATTTGGAGCTTGTAATAAATCTCTCTCTCTCTCTCTCTCTCTCTCTCTCTAAGCTGGAGAATCAAGTGAGCTCACATCTTGGGTGGAATTACCTACTCTTATGGTTTGTAGTCACTAGTCAACGGTTGACAACCCGCCAAATAGCTTGCCTTAACTTCTATTCCAAATTTTTTAATTCGGTCGTTGGTGGGGCTAATTGTTTTCTGAAGTATAGAGGGCAAAACCCCAAAATGATTACAATTAACTTAACATTTCTTTGGTGCATGTTGTTATTAAGTATTTGAATAATTGTGATTAGCAAAGCATGAGCGAGTGGTGACCAAAGCATTGTGACGACACTCACGTGAAGCTGAATAGACTTCTGGGCAGGCCACCATGGAGCAGGCCGTCACTTGCTTTCTCTAGCCAGCCACCGCCCTCGGCCTCATAGATAATACTGCAATTAGTTGACTAATGGCGGTTTTCTGCGGATATGAAGAAATCTTTTTAAAGCAATAATTATTAATTACGTAATTTTCTTTTGGGAAATGAAACTGCTAAATGTATATTGCATCACAGCCTCACAGGCCCACCTGTTACTTTTTCCTCTCATCCTTTGGATGATAGTTCTCATTTTCAGACTATAAACGTCTTCGCCAAATTCGATTTGAACTGTGATTTATAATACGACAATTTTTAGCTTTTTGGAGTAAGTTCTAATACGCATGCTATCTTCTTTATACCCCAGCTTTTGTTTACTTTGTATTTTTTTTTCTTTCTCAAAGATAGAAAGATTGTATTAGCAAATAAATTAGGGGTCGTTTGCTTGTTGGATTTGAAAATGAGGGTTTTGAGTTTTAAAAACTTTCGGATTTATGATGGATTTGTTGCATTGTGGATTTGGAAGAGTACATTGTTTGTTTATATAATTTTTATATTGGATTTATGATGAATTTGTCTAACAACTTTGCCTTCCATTATCAAATTCCAACTGAAATGTGAGATTTGCAAATCTGTGTGGTCCACGGATTTGTGTCCCTTAGCACACCCTTTATCAATGACAATCTAGGAGATTCCAATAACTATAATTTATGCGACAAGTCACACGATACACACCATCATACTGCATACACCAAACGTATTAAATAGACTAGCTAGCTGCCGAACTCGCAATGCATGCTCCAAAGTAAAAACACATTTTGGTTTGTCAATGAGTAGAACACCTCAAAGACAACTAATCCACAAAGTTTCACCACCAGAGGATAGCGCAGAAGCAAAATGTTAGAGCATCTCCGACTCCAAAAGACAAACCGAGCACAAATTCGAATACCCAACTCCATGTTCTGACAACGCCACCGTAGCAAGAAAAATCCGATGCAACAACTGCTGAAAATGAGAAATATATAGTTTGAAATGAATCGAGTAGATCCCACACTTGCAAATTGCATCCATAAACCCCCAAATCAAGCAGAGAAACCGGCCACCACCTCTCAAGACCCTTTCATCCAAAACTTTAAACACTCTGTGATAACCCGACTTACTAGTATACTTACCAAAAACCCTTGTCATGCCAGAGTCAACCGAGCAGTGACCTACGAGTAACAAATGGGAGTGACAACAATTGTAATAAACCCAATCATCCATCTACTCAGGTGCAGAACTGATAAACACCCTCGCAAAGTATTGGTGGGCCTGAATGAAGAGCCAAGGCCCAATATCTTCGTTAATGTATTAATGTTCATCACATTTCCCAATCCCTACCATACCAGTCCACAATCCACATAGGCTACATGAACATTGTGACAGATTCTGACATCATCTCGTGTCATCTTCCCTTGATCTGCAGGACATTGTTGACCCTACTTAGTACGGTAATCACTGAAATTAAGAATGAATAACTACATAGTCAGAGTAGAGTGGGGGCTGCAAAGCTCATCTGGAATAGATGGCTAAAAGCCCTATATCGTGCACCAAGTTGGCAAGAAATGATACTTAATTAGCTAATCACTAATTAGAGAGAAGTATTACAATATACATACATCATACATGGACATGACAGGCTTTAGCTAGTCTTATACAACTGCAAATTGTATTAACAGACCCACTAATCTAATCCGTTTGCTTAAAATCCTTAATCCTAGAGAGAGAGAGGACAGGGTGGCAGAGTAAAGGAAGGGCCAAGTCAACCCTTTCTCACTGTTGTCCTCTTGCAAGTTGATGGGTTTCGCAGACAGCCAGAGACCTTCAATAAATTTTACCTCCGCAACCAACTAACAATTAAAACAACCGCTTCAGCTCATAAAGATCCAAAGAAACAAACGCCACCAGCCAAGAGCCCGGCCGTCTAGAAAGCTTTGTCCTTTTCCCCTCCTTTCCTTGGATTTTACTCTGTTTTTTCCCTCCCCACTTGTATATCATTAACCTCTTAATCCGGTCAAAGTATGCGACTGGGAAAGGGCCATGTACTCATGTTCATATGCGGTGATGAAAGACAGCTTATCTTTATATTGATGATTTTGGATTTCCCCACCCCCAATATATGAGAAAAGGGCTCACCTTTCCAATTTTCCGCTTTCACACTACATTCCACCTCCCTCTCTATCTTCTCCCCCTTCACGGACTTCTCTTCTTTCTTCCTCTGCCCTGCTTCTGGAAAGCTGGGAAACTTTCCTGAGTTGGGCTCCTTCCTTTCCTGCAGCTGGGGAAACAGTTGATCTCTTCTATCTCAATCTTTCTGTTTCCGGGAAGCTTGGTTGTGTTCATTTCATGGGTTCCTGCTTTAGTTCCGGAATCAAAGCTGGCAACCCCTTCTTTAATGGTACCTTCCTCAATTCTCTCCACACTCCTGTTGATCTCTTCATTTGGGTTTTCTCAATATGTTCCCTTTTCCAGAAAAGTCTATTCCTTTTTCTCCTTCAAACGATTCTGATCAACCAACATAGGTCGAAATAGGAAACCCTGTTAGCTCCTTCTGTTCTAGGTTGTTAGCTCGGAATCAATTTGAACATAGTATCCACCATTAAATGAATTCTATGTTTAACGATGTTGCTGGGTTTGTGCAGGGTCGAGGAAAGATTTGAGCGGGTCGACGAGCAAGGTATCATCGTCGGCTGGGGCAGTGCCTACTACGCCGAGAACAGAGGGCGAGATCTTGCTAGCTACAAACTTGAAGAGCTTTACCTTCGGCGATCTCAAGGCGGCGACTCGAAACTTCCGCCCCGACAGTTTGTTGGGTGAAGGCGGGTTTGGGTGTGTCTTCAAAGGATGGGTCGACGAGAATTCGCTCACGGCTGTAAGGCCTGGAACTGGGATGGTTATTGCCGTCAAGCGGCTTAACCAAGAGAGCTATCAGGGCCACCAGGAATGGCTGGTAATTCTTAAATTCCCTCTCTTTCGTACGAGTTTAGAAATGTGAGTTAGAGGAATTGAAAACTGATTGTTTCTACTGTGGATGTGAATGGTGGACAGGCGGAAATCAACTACCTGGGGCTGCTGTACCATCCAAACCTGGTGAAATTGATCGGTTACTGTATTGAAGATGAACACAGGCTTCTGGTGTACGAGTTCATGCCTAAGGGCAGCCTGGAGAATCATCTATTCAGAAGTGAGTTCTTCTTACCAATCTATTCTTTGATGTCAATCACTAGCTCATATCAATAAGTTGAGTTGGGAGATGTAAGTACCAGTTTGTTGGTTGAATTAATGTTGTCTGAAACAATATTGGGTTTGGTCACAGGGGCTTCTTATTTCCAACCTTTGTCCTGGAACCTGCGTATGAAGGTTGCAGCTGATGCTGCCAAAGGTCTAGCATTCCTTCACAGTGATAAGGCCAAAGTGATATACCGGGACTTCAAGACTTCCAACATCCTTCTCGATTCGGTATTGTGAAAAACGAATTAACTTGTTAATGACTTTGTTCACTGTACTTATACCCAGCACTTTGCATTGAATCTCTCTAATACATTCATTCTCCTGAAACGGTGTAACGGATGCAGAGCTACAATGCTAAGCTCTCGGATTTCGGGTTAGCCAAGGACGGTCCAACGGGGAGTAAGAGCCACGTCTCTACAAGAGTCATGGGCACATATGGGTATGCAGCTCCTGAGTACATGGCCACAGGTAACCCTACATGCTGCCTATTAATACAAATGATGATATGAATTCCAACATTATGCTTTGGTTCCTGCCTTGTTTTGTGTTCTAATTTCTTTCTGTCCTATTTTGAAGGCCATCTGACATCGAAGAGCGATGTGTATAGCTTTGGGGTGGTCCTGCTGGAGATAATCTCGGGCAGGAGAGCCATAGACAAGAACAGGCCGTCGAGGGAGAAGAGCCTCGTGGAATGGGCGAGGCCTTACTTGGGTAGCAAGCGAAAGATCTTCCAAGTGATGGATGCAAGGATCGAAGGGCAGTACACTGTGAGCTGCGCGCTGAAAGTGGCGACTCTAGCAGTGAGATGCTTGTCAGCAGAGCCCAAGTACAGACCAAACATGGCTGAAGTGTTGACAATTTTGGAGCAGATTCATCACGAGTGCAGTAGCACTAGTCGTAGTAGTAATGAGGGTGAATTAACAAGAGGATCAAGACCGCAAGAAGCACGAGTACTCAACAATGGTGGTGGGAAGCCGAGAAAGAAGGTGGCCAATGGAGTTCATGTTGTGGGTAATGGAAGGGCTCCTTCTTCCCCCAGACCATCTGCTTCACCTCTCCGTGCATAGAAGGGAATTTGCCGAATGTGCATTTTTTGCTTTGGAACTTTGGGAAGTTTGTCTGTTGTATATCCGAGGATGTACAGGTTTGAAGCCGGATATCATTGTACAGCTTTTGCATTCTTCTTTCGTTTCCTCCAATGTCAACTCGGTTTTGACATGTTCTTGACTGGAAACTGCTGTAACTGCAGAGTGGTTCATGAATCATGTTATCATCACTTCTCCTGTTATGTGGTTTGTTACTTGATTTCTCCATCATAGTATAGATGAGATGATCCATCAAAGACAAAGATGAAAGAACCATCAAAGAAGACAAACGTTGGTGAAGAATCCTGTCTTGGAAATGGATCCTTGAGATCCACCACTAGGTTTCTAGTTAACATACTATGTTAGTTTTATATTAAGCAAAAACTACAAGAAGATACAGGTGGCGCTGGACTTGTTGAACTCACCGGCCGGCCCAGATCTGTTAGTAAGTGGTATAAAATTCATTATTGAACCTCTCTCAACAACTCAAGTTATTGGGACTAATTGGGTCTTGACATGATATTAGAGCGGCCGGGAGGTCTTGTGTTCGAATTCTGATGACTCCATTTGTGAAGCACATGTATTCTCGTGTTCAGGACATGTGCAAACGAATCATTATTAAAGCTCTCTCAACAACTCAAGTTATTGAGACCAAGACCAACATTGTTGGTCTGATAGTTTTGGATTTTTCATCTGGGCCGCATTCATTTCGCAGCTTCTGCCTGTTTCAGTGTTTCTTTTCCCCCTTCCACAAAGCTTTGCATTTATATTTGGAAAGTAATTTTAGTAAAAGATAGAAAATTAGAAATAACTAACTAATGATAATGATGATGGTGATGATGATGATCTTGGAGACTTGGAGTACTAGTGTACTAGGGTCTAGGCTTTAAGGGTGTTGTGACAAAAGAGATATTTGGGCTCATTTATAGGCGCCACAAGACGAACTAAGAACACATCGGAAACCCAATTTATCCGGGCCCAAATCGATAATGGGCCGGACCAACGGTAGAGTAAGGCTTTATTATTGTCCTTGCCAAGTTAGCAATTCTTCCAAGTTCCAAGTATCTGTCCATGAAAACCACCGGGGAAGGGAAAGGGAAAGGGAAACCCCAAATGATGATCGCTGCTGCTGCATGTCTCCGTCGCGACCATCGTCCGGCTTGGCTTCCGCTCCCTCTCCACCGCCACAGCTCGCAACCTCGCCACCGCCGCTGTTGCAGCCGCGGCTTTGTCCTCGTATCGGTTGCTTGCAGCTGCCCAGCCTGATACGCGCTTTCTTCTTGGCTTGTCCTTACTGGAGCTTGAACAGCTAGTTCTTGACCTCGGCCAGGTAATTCCAATTCGCAGCCCCAAAAAGTACTCACAGAACCGAGTGAAATTGATCTTGTTGCTAATGTTTCATCTATAGTCTGTTAAATTTCCTGTTACCCTGCGTTTATTGATTGAACTGGAAGACAACAGACTGATTGAAACTCTTGAAACTGTGGGGCATTCGGTATCTGATTAGGGGATAAATAAACCAGATAGCGGATAAGAGCGGCTCCAAGCCTTTCCTTCAGAATTGATAGCTGATTTGTGTACCAAGTTGGCAAAAGTGAATTATTGTAGAGGAGTATTCCATCAATTTACAGTCTTTTGTTAGTCTTAAAGAATTATAATTGGTATCAACATAACCCACTGGCCACTAGTCTTCCTTATGCTTAATAGTGCGCCAAGCCAGCCCACTGTTTTTCTTTTGCAAGTTGATGGGATTTGCAGAGTCTTTAATTAATTTTTCCAGCAACCAAACAAACAACTGCTCCAGCTATGGAAAAACAAAACTCACCAGGCATCCCAGCCGGCTACGAAACTTACCTTCACTTTTCCTGCTATTATAGTTTCCCGCGAAATTTCCCCCACTTAAATTATGATATATCATTGACCTCTTTAGTCTTAAAACAGTCGAAGTATGTGACTGGGAAGGTCCATCGTTCATATGGGTGACAGACAGAGAGCCTATCTTTATGAATGATGATTCCACATCACCAACCCCATCCCCATCTCCATATATGAAAGAAAAGGGCTACCTTTCCATTTTACCGCTCTCGCACTACATTCTACCTCGCTTTCTCTCTTCCCTCCCTCAGGGACTTCTCCTCTTTCGTCCTCCGCCCTGTCTCTGCAAAGCTGGGAAACTTTCCAGAGTTGGGTCTCTTCCTATTCTTCCTTTCTTGCTGCTGAGAAAACAGTTGATATCTTCTTCTTTCTTTTTCCGGTAAGGGAAGCTTGGTCGTGTTCTTTCATGGGTTCCTGCTTTAGTTCCGGAATAAAAGCTGAAAGCCCCTTCTCTAATGGTACCTTTCCCACTTCTTTCCATAGTTTTGCTGATCATAGCTTATTGTTAGGTCCTTTTTGTTCTGGGTTGTTTCCTGAAGCTCTAGGACGACGATCTGTATTGTCAACTCAGCATTGTTGTGTTGAACAAAACTCGAGAGGCTAGCGAAGTCAGCTGTTATTGGGGGGGCCGTCTCCCAAAGATGAAACCTAGTTCAGGCTAGTTGTCAGCGTTAGAGGCGACTATGCTGAGTCCAATTTCAGTTTTAATTTATGCTAAGTTCAAATATGCTGTGGGTTTTGGCAGGGGCGAGGAAAGAAGGTGAAATCTTCCAAGCCACAAACTTGAAGAGCTTTACCTTCAGCGATCTCAAGGCAGCCACTAGAAACTTTCGCCCTGATAGTTTGGATGAAGGCGGGTTTGGTTATGTCTTCAAAGGATGGGTGGACGAGAATTCACTCACTGCTGCAAGTCCTGGAACTGGGATTATTATTACCGTCAAGAGGCTTAGTCAAGAGAGCTGTCAGGGCGACCAGGAATGGCTGGTAATATATCTACAAACTTTTGCTGCTCTTAATTTCTTGGCATTTAGAAATGTGAAAGAGGAAATGAAACCAGATTGTGTGTGTAATGTGTTTTTGTTAATGGTGGCATGGTGATAGACGGAAATCAACCACCTAGGGCAGCTGTACCATCCAAACCTAGTGAAATTGATTGCTTATTGCATCGAGGGCGAACGCCGGTTTTTGGTCCATGAGTTCATGCCTAAGGGCAGCTTGGGAAATCATCTCTTCAGAAGTGAGTTATTACAAATCTTTTCCTTGTGCTAATTACCATATGAGCACGGCAAAATCTCGATAACTCGAGTCATTATGAAAGCCATCAGATTGGATATTGTATCAGTTTCTTAGCAGGAACAATGGTGTCTGAAGCATTATTGTTGTCATCACAGGGGATTCTGATTTCCAACCTTTGTCTTTGAACCTGCGTATGAAAATTGCACTAGATGCTGCGAAAGGTCTAGCATTCCTTCACAGCGACAACGCCAAAGTGATATACAGGGACTTCAATACTTCCAATATCCTTCTCGATTCGGTAACGTGAAAAATGATAACATGTTAATGACTTTTTCACTGTATTCATAACTAGCACTCACTCTGCCTTGCAACTCTCTAACAACATGCATTCTCCTGAAACTGTGTAATGGAAACAGAACTACAATGCTAAGCTATCTGATTTTGGGTTAGCCAAGTATGACCCAATAGAGAATTTGCACCCCTACGACACAAGAATCAGCTCCACATTTGATTATGGAGCTCCTGAGTACAAGATGGCAGGTAACCATACATGTTGTGTACATTGATATGAAAGAAACCATATCCCCCAAAATTATGCTTCCATTTCTCCTTTGTCTTGCTCACACTGAGTGTTCTTCTTTCTGTCCTATTTTGAAGGGCGTCTGACATCAAAGAGCGATGTGTATACATTTGGGGTAGTCTTGCTAGAGATAATTTCGGGCAGGAGAGCCAGTGACCAGCAGGGGCCGTCGAGGGAGATGTTACTGGTGGAATGGGCAAGGCCTTACTTGAGTAGCAAGCAAAAGATCTCCCGAGTGATGGATCCAAAGATTGAAGGGCAGTATAGTGTCAGCTGCGCACTGAAAGTGGCGGCACTAGCACTGATATGCCTGTCAGCAGACCCCAAGTGTAGACCAACCATGGAAGAAGTTGTGAGAAGTTTGGAGCAGATTTATAACGGGTGCAGTAGCAGTAGTAGTAATGAGGGTAAATTATCAGGAGGATCAAGATCGAAAGCAGCACGAGTCAACAATGGTGGTAAACCGAGAAGGAAGAGGATGAATGGAGTTCATGTTGTGGGTAATTGAAGGGATCCCTCTTCCCCCAAACTATCTGCTTCTTCTTTATGTCGATAGATGCATGCCAACGGTGGTTGGTTGTGTTGTGTGTTCGACTTTGATCCGAGGGTGAATTGCCAAAAGTTTGTGGTGTTGAATCATGATTTGTTATAATAGTACAGCAGTTCTTTTACCTTTTTCTCCCCAATGTCAGTTCGGCTTGCATGTTCTTGACTGTGTCAACTCGAGTGGTTGGGATATGTTCAATCGTGGATTATATACTATTCACTAACACATTCCCTCAAACGAAAGTCAGTCACTTCATAAGGGGCACTCGAGTTGTTGGGATAGGTTCAATCGTGGATCATATACTATTCACTAACACACCCCCTCAAACGAAAGCCATAAGAATACATGTGTTTCACATGTTCTGAACACAAGAATACATGTGTTTCACAAATGGGGTCACCGGGATTTGAATACTAGACCTTTCGATTACATAAGGCTCTGATATCATGTCAAGAACCAATTGATCATAATAACTCAAGTTGTTGGGATAGGTTCAATCTTGGATTATATACTTTTCACTAACAAACTAAATACAATTGCTTTATGAAATATATCAAGTTAACAATCACCAAAACCAAACCAATCTGAAGTGTTTGTATGATAATTGATAGGCGTGGAACGTGGAAAAACCTTGCAATGGATGATCAATGGCCCAACACAAGAATGGGCCGGATCAAATGCTGAGTAAGGCTATTATCGTCCTTCCCCAGCTTTACGGCTGAGGTTTTTCTTCCAACTTCCAAGTGCCATGGCTAGCAAGCAATTTTTTTGTTCAAGGTTTTAGAGCTTCAATTAAGCTCCCAGTTCAAGAAAACGAACGGAGAAGGAAACGGAAAGGTGGAGGCAAAATGATGATTGCTGCTGCTTCTTCAACGCTGCTCCAGCATGTTAGCTCCGTCTCAGTCGCGAACATCGTCCGGCCAGGCTTCCGTTCCCTCTCAGCTGCCTCAGCTCGCAACCTATCCACAGCCGCCGCGGCGGCAGCTGCTTCGTCGTCGCCTCGTTCACTTTCAGCTGCACAGTCCGATACGCGCGTCCTCCTTGGCTTGTCCGAACCTGAACTTCAACAGTTAGCTGTTGACCTCGGCCAGGTAATTCCTATCCGCAACCCCCAAAAAGCACTCACAGTTGCGGGTGAAATTGCTCTGAAGTTTGACGCTTTTCTTTTTTCTTCCTAGTTTTGCTCCTAATGTTTACTATTTATTCTCTGCTCGGGAATTGAATACGTAGGAAGGCTACAGAGGAAAGCAGCTTCATCACTTGATATACAAAAGAAAAGTGAAGGAAGTAGATGATTTTAGCCAGTGTAAGTTCTTTCTTTGTTTCAGTTGAACCTAAAACTGTTAGGGATGATTGGTGTTCATGATATGTTTCCTGAAATTTTGAATTTTATCTGAAGTGCCCAAGGCATTTAGAAATGTTCTTCAAGAAGCTGGGTGGAAAGTTGGGCGGTCTCCAATCTTTCGAACTGTTACGGCTGCTGATGGTACTATTAAGGTGAGCTCGTCTGAACCTAACTTGGATTGGGGCTAATTATGTTGCTAATCTGTTGATCCTCAACAGGGTGGATTGCTTAAATAAGAAGAAGGGACTTTCATGGGTCATTAGTAATATTTTCATCCACTTATTTGCGATTACTTTCCTGTTACTCTGTAGTTATTGATCAAACTCGAAGACAACAGACTGATTGAAACTGTTGGCATCCCTGTGAACGATGATAAAGGTTTAACTCGCCTAACTGCATGCGTCTCATCACAGGTGATTTACCAACCAAATGGTCTGCTGCCTGCGACACTGCTTTGCACTTCCTTTCTCTTCTAGTTTTCTAGTCTTCCAACTTGGTGTTTCTCGGTATCTGCTAAAACTAACTTCCTGTCACTCTTTTGTGGGCATTCAGGTAGGTTGTCCGCTCCGTTGCTCATTTTGTGCCACTGGTAAAGGAGGGTTTTCAAGGAATCTTCAGGCACATGAGATTGTTGAACAGGTGTGTGTTCTGTTTTGTTTTAGCAGTGTATTCTTTATATTTAGATAAGCATATAGCCGGAGATTTTTCTGCCCCAAAAGAATTGACTTGGTTCGACTAGAAAGCAATATTTATCCCAAGAGGATTTTATAATCGCAGGTATTGGCTATTGAAGAGATCTTCAAGCACAGAGTGACAAATGTAGTATTCATGGGAATGGGTGAACCAATGTTGAATCTGAAGGCAGTACTTGGAGCACACCGGTGCTTAAATAAGGTGCACGCACAGTTTCAATCAGCCTGTTGTAACCTTGACAGGAATTGTTGTCTGCAAATGCATTATAGTTTAGCCGAGAGAAGATTTTTCTCGTGCTCATAGTTTACTATGCTTATTTGGGTTCCCAGATTCGTTGTTTTCCTGTTTACTCAATTGCTTCTAAATTATGTTACAGAAACGGAACTATTCACAAAGTAAACCATTATGGTTGTTTTACATGTTATCTAACATGTACTGGATCATTATTGCTTCTTCAGGATGTTGAAATTGGGCAAAGAATGATAACAATTTCTACAGTTGGGGTTCCAAATACAATAAAGAAGCTGGCCTCCCATAAGCTTCAATCAACCTTGGCTTTCAGGTATACCAACTGTCATTCTTAACGGGATACTACTATCCAAATAAGTGAATAACCCATCGATGCAGATTTCCACTACCTCTTACATGGTCTAGTTCCACAAAAGTTAGTTCGTCAGCAGTTTGTTTAGTCTGCATGAGATTGATATATTTTTCCTTTCCTCTTGCCCCGCAGCTTACACGCTTCAAATCAGAAACTCAGAGAGACAATAGTGCCAAGTGCTAAATCATATCCTCTGGATGCAATAATGCAAGACTGTAAGGACTACTTTCTCCAAACCAGTAGGCGGGTATCCTTCGAATATGCACTTTTAGGTATTGACTGCCCTAACCGGAATCTCTTTCTCCTTCCTTTCTTCATTCATACAATTTTCTTAAGGTCATGTTTTTTCTTTTGGCAGCTGGAGTGAATGATAAGACAGAGCATGCCGTAGAACTAGCTGAGTTATTGCAGAATTGGGGACGCAATTATCATGTCAACCTCATACCATTCAATCCAATTGAAGGATCTGATTATCAACGTCCAACTAAAAAGGGGGTAGGCCTCATCTATGCAGATCGGGTTCAATCTTTACTTACTTTTAGGGTTTGTCAAATGAATAAGTTCCCCGTTTTCTCCTTTGCAGGTGCTAAATTTTGCTTCCACACTAGAGGCGCGTAAAGTAACTGTGAGCATTCGTCAACCAAGGGGGATGGATGCGAGTGCAGCTTGTGGTCAGCTAAGAAATCAGTTCCAGAAAAGTCCTTTGCTCACTGATTCAGAAATCTCGCCACCACCTGAGACCGAGCTTGCAGTCGCATGCTGATGCCAAAGTTGATGACATTGGGCGGTTTTGGTTTTTAGATTTTGCCTCCTGCTACCACCATTGGTCTACTGAAGTTTGTCTACGCTGCGTGGTTATACCATATCTTTCATGCAGACCGAAGATTATGAAGAGTGTAAAGGCCAGTTTCTCCAGCAGCGCGCTGCCCAGGCATTCACACCTGATATATATAATCCATAATTTTCAAATTAGAGGTTGCTCGGCAAGCATGTAACGCAGACTACATGAATTTTAAGGACTAAGGTCTGGAGGAATTGTAAGAATCATGTGATGTTAGAAGTTGTATTTTGTTTGCTGGAATTGTGATATTCTCATATCAGAAATGAGAGTACCTAGAGCAGAGGTGAAACTATTTGGCTGTTTGTAAAACCGTATCGTATCAATGGTTCGTCCGAAAAAATTGCCTATCGGATAAGCGGTATAAAATTGTTGAATCATGATTAATCCATAAATACTGCCAGGGATTCTTTTGGTTATAGCCTCGGATAAGGTTACTTAAATTTCTATTTTGCTTGCCAAATTGTCGGAAAATAAAGGTGATCGGACTCCACATAAACTTTGTCATATGATCGGCTAGTCGGTACTCGGTAGTCCCTAGTCGGCTACTACCGAATGGGCCAACTTAATTGGGCCCATCGCACGATCGAAGCCCAAAGTCTAGCCGCAAAGTTTGCATAATCGCGTCAACGATAGAAACGAGACGGTCCAGCCCAATATCAGATCCAAATCCAATTTCTAGGGTTTATAACAACCGTTTCAATTACTTCCTCCGACCACCATTTAGACAGCAACAGTTCAATTTCGCTGCTCTCGAAGTCAGTCGGGAGGGAGATCAAAATCAAAGTTTGAGGAAGGAAGACGAAGAAGAACGCGTAGTACTTCGGTCGGCGTGTCTCGTGCGCCAGGAATCTTTGCTGCTTGCATTACAAGTCTACAGGTATATCTGAATTTAAGAGGGCGTCGCTGTAATCAGCTTCTTGACCTAAAAAGAATCAAAGCCCTAGCCCGTTGTTTCGCAGCTGAAATAGAACTCTCGCATGAGCTATTGTTGCTCTGAATACCAGTTCGTTGCTTTCTTTTACTTCCTACCAGTGTGTCCCGTTGAATGTTGCTTCTTCAATGTAGGGAATTTTGAATTGAATGCGGCAAAAGTTATTATGAGGAGGATAACATGAAGCTTTGTAATTTAATGGCTAGGTGGTGTTATGAGGAGGTACAGCCCGCCGTACTATAGCCCTCCGAGGAGAGGATATGGAGGTCGACCAAGGAGTCCGCCTAGGAGAGGTTATGGAGGTGGTGGTGGTGGTGGAGGAGGAGGTGGTGGTGGCGGCGGCGGTGGAGGTTATGGTAGGCGAAAGGACAACCAAGGCAGCCTCTTGGTCCGTAATATTCCTCTTGATTGCGGGTGAGTTTTACCTTGGACGTGGAGCTAGTGATTGTTTTCGGCCCTTGTTTGAGAGTCATTTTGCTCATTTGTTGATACTTGGCAGCCAAGAAGAACTTAAGGCTCCATTTCAGCGGTTCGGGGCTCTAAGAGATGTGTACATTCCAAAGGACTTTTACACAGGGTGAGCTTTTGTTGAGCTTTTGCTGGTATTTTGTTTGCTTGCTACACCTTCCTCTTTGGCAATTTTTTCGTTTCTCTTTGTAATACACCAAGTATGGATCTCTTTAGAAGTTTAAGGTTTGCTAATCTTAGAATTCTTGACATTGTCTAAATACGTGCAAGTATAGTACAGTTAAGATCATGCCAGCTACATCTTGGTGTATGGTACTGTGCCCTGTATTTTAATTGTGTGTGAATGCTGTTGAGTGGTGACCATTGTTAGACTACTTTAGGCAGTTTCCTGCATCTCTTATGCTTGTACTGCTCATGAAATTTTATATGCAATGGTCTCATGTTTTTCATTTTCATGGTGAACTGGATTTTAAATGGTTTATCAGGGGGGTTGTTGGTTTGAAGTAAAATCAAGACCAAGCCCCACAACTGATGAAGGCCTTCTGTAAAACATTCCCTAACATATTGCTCTCAACTCAAGATAATGTCGAAATGAAGAATGTTCCTTTATGAAGAGAAATTATGAAATTATCCAACAGTAGAGGTTTGATGATGAAAGAGGACTCATTCTTGACCGTCTGAAGACGACTTGAAGAGACTTAGTTTGGGGAAACATTGGTCGAAGTTGGTCTTGTATTTACCAGCATTTGAAGAAATTACCAGTGACTTGCATCTTTTCAAGTTGGCTTTGATACTTTGACTTTTAAGGAAGATGTCAGCCACTAGCCTGAGTTTTTGTAAGTTCAGTGTCATCATACTTGTAAGTGCACTGGAGGCAGAAGAAAGGTATACTAACCACTAAATGCTTGAGTTATGGACGAATTTAGGGATCTCTTTTCAGCAAGTTCACTTATCATCATTAAATCATTCTTGTTTGGTTATACTCAAAACACTGTAGCCTTACGATCCTATTTTGCTGCTCTTTTTAATAGGGAACCTCGAGGCTTTGCATTCGTCCAATTTGTGGATTCGTATGATGCCCTGGAAGCTCAGCGTCGAATGAATGGACAAATATTTGCTGGCAGGGAGATATCCGTGGTGGTTGCTGCAGAGTCCAGGAAAAGGCCTGAGGACATGCGCCATAGAACTCGGACTAGGTAACCGTGATCTCTTTGATGCATATTACTTTCTCATGAGTAGTTTTCTAAATGATTCATCTAATGTTTAAAACATCTTGCAGGGGAGGAGGTCGCGGGGAGAGATCATCTTATTATGGTACACGCTGACACCTTTAGTTGTACTCTCCAAAAGTTGGGATTTGGAAATTCCTTAACAGGAAACTTGTCTTCTTATAGCCTTCTGTTTATGTCAAATTATTGTTGCCATAATTTCAGGGCGCTCTCGGTCTCGTTCGCTGTCTCGCTCTCCTCACCATCACGGATCAAGGTCTAGATACCGTTCAAGGTTAGCATCTCTCATATTGACATATTGCTCTACTCGTGAAAAGATTGCCTGAGATTTAAACATGTTTCTGGACCTTGCGTTTAGGTCCTACTCTCCTCCTGCTCCAAGACACCGCCGAGACTACTCGCCGGCCTCACCAGGTAGGAGGCACCCTAACCCTCCAGTTCGATCTCCGTCGAGATCTCCATCTCCCAGAGGTCCTGCTCCGCCTGAACGAGACATTGGCCGCGGCAGGCTATCATATTCCCCTCAGGGTTATGGCAACCCAGACAATCTAGACAATAAAGGGAATGGCTACGCTGAGTAAGTGACCTTTTTGTTTTGTTTCTCTACAGCCCCCAACATGGTTCTCTTTCTGCTCTTCGGATAATCTCTAAAGGCCAAATTTTGGTGCAGGAAACATGACCATGGCCTGGAGGAAGAAAGAGCGTGGAGAAGGCCACCTTCACCTGGCCGAAGGCCTGCCGTCGCCATGTCGAGTTCCCCACCAGGTTCTAGATCAAGGTCTCCCATCCCGTCCCCGGGCCGCCGCCATGGCAGATGATTGATGATCTAGCACCATCCGCCATCATCTGAAGAGCACTCTTGCTACCTGCATTGTATGATAAACGAATCAAGTAGAAACGGCGTTTGGATGGTCCTTGTTGTTTGACATGGTTTGTCGTCTGCGCACAGATGAAACTCTCTTTCTCTGTCAATGCAATATCGGAGTAAGAATGTTTCCATCTTCATGGTGAATAGGTTTATGGCTTTTCTTTATCCAGATGTCAAAATTGCCACGCCGTTGGAACTACGCTACCCAACGACGTGTTATTTTCATTTTTGTTTCTTTGCCCTACGTGAGAATGTTTACATCTGGGTTAGGAAATGCTAGAGTGACCGGTGGTCGTTCATTCCTTCGACGGCAGATGCGTTTGACAAGCGTTGTTTCCAGCCTCTTCGTTATCTCTTTTCCAAGGTAAGTTCTGTCGGCATCCGTCTGAACGAAGCAGTGACGTGTGCACCTGTCGTCGGAGTCTGAAGTGGCCGGCGCCGGCAGGGGGACGGAAACAGGAGGGGAACAGACAAACGGCTGACTTGCCCAGCAAGTAACTTGGTAATCTTGTGAGGTCCATTAATAAATCATAATAATAAACAATAAATATTAGCGCCACCGTGACGTGATTCTGCAAGGAAGGTCGTTGTTTTCAAGGGTGGAAATTTGTCTGTCTCCTGGCGAGATGGGGACGGGGGCAATTTGCTTAGTGTCCTGTCGATCCTTAATTATTGTCCGTTCGATGGTATCGGAGGTGGTCAGATGTGGCACGTTTCCTTTTTATTCATTCCAAAAGCTTTTAGTTTTTTTATTTTTTTATCCAAATAAAAAATAAAGTAAAGCATTTTTAGGGGTTCTCAAGTTGTGGGGACTATTCCTGTTTCGCTGTTTCGGCGACCGCCTTAATTAAATAAAATACGACTTTATTTTTGCCTTCTCCCGTGTAACATAAGATCACTCAGCAGCCAAGATAGGAAAATAATAAAATAGTAAAAATGAAGTTTTTGATTTAATTTTCTTTCTTGCATCAAAATTTGGTTTCTGGAAACTATACACTACAGCTACTGCGTCTATCCTGGCTCCTTTTCTTACTCTGCCTCTTCCCCTGCCTGCCATATCCTTTCTCTTCTTCTTTCCCATTCACCATTATTATTGCTGCCATTTCGTTGCGGCCGCCTTCTTCCTGCTTAAGGTTCTCTTTCTCCATCCTTTTCATTATGATTCCTTTTCTGTATTTGCTGAACTGATTATACCCTTTTTCAGCTGCTGCTGCTACTTGGTTTCTTTCCTCTGCAATTTTCTCATTTGGGTTGTTTCCATTATCCTCTGATTCTCTCTCAGGGCTTCTAGATTGGGGGTCAACCCTCCATAGTTTCTGGTCAGAGTAATCCAAGATAATCCCACCTTTTTGCTCATGGTTTGTATTACTTCCCATTTGTTGATCTTGGTTTCTGTTTTTGTTTCAGTCTGGTAGGGTTCGTGTTGGTTTCTCTGGTTTTTGTTTTGTGTTTGTGGATGTAGTGTGGTGTTTGATATTTGATTGCGGTGTTTTTGGATACAGGTGAGCCCAATCGACCACCAAATGACCGGCGGCGGTCACAGGGACCTAGGACCGGCGTGGTTGAAACCAATGCTGAGAGCCAGCTACTTCCACCCCTGCCCTTTCCATGGCGATTCCAACAAGAGCGAATGCAACATGTTCTGTTTGGACTGCACCGGCAGTGCTCTCTGCTCTTATTGCTTGATCAACCACAGAGACCACCGTGTTGTTCAGGTAATGATGATGGTAGTGCGATTTAAGCTTTAATTGATGAGCTGGGATTCGATTGATTGAAGAGCTAATGGGTGTGGTTTCTTTCTTCCTTCCTTCTATTTGCCCTGCAGATTCGTCGATCTTCGTACCATAACGTGGTGAGAGTGAATGAGATACAGAAGTACATAGACATTGCCTGCGTCCAGACTTACATTATCAACAGTGCCAAGATTGTGTTCTTGAACGAGAGGCCTCAGCCTAGGCCAGGGAAAGGGGTTACCAACACTTGCGAGATATGTTGCAGGAGCCTCCTCGATTCCTTCAGGTTCTGCTCCCTCGGCTGCAAGGTTGGTTCCCCCACCCTCGATTCCTTCTGCATTCTTTCAATTCATCAACAGTTTGTTTTCATTTTTCATGCTAAACAATGAATGTGGTATCTGTCTTGCTCTTATCAGCTGGGAGGCATGAAGCGAGGAGATCGAACCCTCACATTCTCAATCCGGGAGAAGTACATCAACAACAGAGATCATCACTTCCTGGGAGAGTTCGACTCCGATGATGACGATGATGAATCGTCCACTCCCAAGAAGATCAGGAGGACCAATTTTTTCAATCGCTTGATGGACAGGCTATCCATCCACTCCATCAACAGCGGAGCCGGTGATGGAAGGGACAGCTCAGGCGATGAAGCTGCAACCAACATTTCCCCATCAACTCCTCCCATATACAATCATCGAAACGCCAGGAGGAGGAAGGGTGTACCTCATCGCGCCCCATTCTGAAGCCAAGGAAACCACAGGGAGGGTTTTCTATGTAGCAGTAATAGTAGTAGTGTGTAGTGATGCAGTAACCTTTACACTGATACATATATATTTATACATACGGTAGGAGTTGGTATAGTTTGTTTTATGGAGTGGGTGTATATATTCAGCTAGCTAGCAAGGAGGAGTAGTGTTGATGCTCTGATAATTAAGAGCTGGTGGTCAGTTTAGTTATAGAATGCTGTCTCTTTTCCCTTTGTGATATACATTACTAGGGTATTGTAGGAATGTAGCAACCCAACCCAGTGTACTGAAAACTGTATATATGTATAATATGCATGCATAGATGCGTTTGGTTGATGTGTATGCTCTATATACCAATACAGGAAACGGCTTCTTGGCCTTGAGCAAGCTTCTTACATGGCCTGTAAATTCATGTGAATGTGAATGTCTTATTTGGGTTTACAATGTGATGTGTTACGGGGCATTGATGATGTTCATTATGGGTTAAGGACATGGAATTAGGAGGGACAAATTGAGGTTTTGTGCTAGTAAGAGTTGCTTTTGTTGATTCTGTACTAGTTTTGGGCTGGGGGGCGCAAGAAAAGAATAGATGATCCATTATTATCCGTGGAAACAAAGTGTCCCCAGAAGTTTGGGGGGTTTTACGGTAGTTTTGGTGGTGGGGGAAACGACAAAACCGGCAATTTTAATGTAAGCAGTGGCAGTGCCAGTGAAAATGAATGCTGCTGCTGCTAAACACTGCATACTCCTTATCCAGACGAGTTCTTGTTGTCCTCGATCCGGGTTGCCTTTGTTTTGTTGCCCAACTGTTTTCTTTCGAGTAAGTACTTGGGAACGTGGCATTGCGTAACGCAATTTGGGAATTCTGATAGGGTGGGGCCTGGTCTCCTTCTAAGTCCGGCTATCTAATCTTGACTAAAATATCTCAAAGTAACTCAAAGGTTTATTTTTTATTTTAGGCAAAATACACTTGTATAGCCATAAGTTTCACGTTTTTGACAAATATAGCCAGAACTATTCGAAAACCCAAAATAGCCAGGAAATTGGAGGGTAGTGTGACAAATATAGCCATTTTCGTTATAAACTTTAACGGTGTTAGTGACGCCGTCAATTTTGTTAGTGATTTGCTGATTAGGACGCCAAATCAGCGTACACGTCATCGACAAATCAGCATAAAGTGACATGTAGATTATATATATGATAAATTATAAAATAAAATAAATAGAAAAGAGGAATTTCCCCTTCCTCCAACTCGCGGCCGCCGCGACCCTTCCCCTTCCTCCCACCTCGCCCCACTCCCACCTCCAGTAAATCAAATCCGCCACCACCGCTGCTAGAATCGTTGGCCACCCGATCTACAACTGCTTCATCTTCCTTGGTTGGCTATTCTCTGGGGGAAGCTGGAGGATGACGACATCGTTTGAGGATTTGGGATCCGGCGATGATGTTGTTACGGTGGAAACGGAGGGATCCAGATTGGCGGTGATGGAGCGGTGGAAGACGAAGATTTCCGATATCAAAGTTGAGCCCTGTCAAATAGCCAATCGTGAACCCAAATCGTGGATCCCACATACCTCCCCGACGGTGTAGTTCCGGCTGCATTTTCGATCCCCTAGTTCCGCCATTAAACCCAGAAAATCAAAGAAAAACTCAGATCCAACTTCCCAAAGCAGAATCAAATGAAAACCCCAGATAAATCGACACACAAGATAAAAAATCGCCTCTCGCCTTTGTTGTCGTTGTCAAACGGCGTCGCCCCTCGTCGTCGTCATTATCATCGTCGACGGTGTTCGCCTCCAGTCACCGTCGGCAAAGTATTATCTTCGTTTCCCTCGTTTGTTTCCAGAAGTAATGAGAGGGAGATGGGTAAATCAAAGAGAAAGAAGAAAGTGAAGCCCTTGTTTGGTTGGTCCAGTGTGAATTTGGGGCTAACCTTGAAGCCCATCATCGTTGGTTGCTCTTTCGCTGGAGGCCGAGATGATAAAGCTGCAGGTACTTATGCCAAAATCAACAAATCAAATAGAGAAGGGCAGGAAAAGAAAGAAGGAGAAGAGGGCGGGAGTGGGCAGGAGCTGGGTGATAGAACCTGGGATTAGGGTTCTATCGAGAATTGGGGATTTAGGGATTAAGAACAGACTTAGGGATTTGAGATTGGGATTAGGAGAGGAAGAACAGAATAAGAATCGGCCGAAGCCTTGGATTAGGGAAGAAGAGAAATTAGGAGATAGGGAGAGCTTAGGGTTTAGGAAGATAATTCTTCTATTGATTTCTGCTTAATCGAACAAAAGACCCAAAGTACATATATATAGCGAAAGACTGGAAAACCTAATAGATTATCCTAATATGACTCAAAGACTACTAACATATCTAGATAAATCCTAATAATATTAATTAATGATAATTATGATAGAACCTAAAATTAGGTTTCTATCATCCCCTCCCCCTTGAGACCAACCTTGCCCTCAAGGTTGATTGACTCAACCCACTTCTTCCCGTCCCGTGCAAAACGCGCCTTGACTTCCCATTTATTGCGCTTCCTTTTCTTCCAATCACACTCCAACTCTTCACTTAATCCTCTTGCACTGATCTCCCCGTGTTGGTCCATCTCTTCAAACTTCATTTTCATGGGCCCACTCTCTGCTTCCTTGCCCAACAACTTCTCTTTTGTCGGCACCACGATCCAGTAGCTTAAGGAATCCGAATGTGCTTTATAGCACAAGAACCTTGATGTCTCTCTAATTACTTTTGGGCTCTGCTCTTGTAAAAGCCCACCAGTGAAGCCTTCAACCACCTTGTCCAAGCCCACCTTCTTCAAAATGCTTCCCACGTTGGGCTCAAACCCTCCCTGAGTCAGCCCAACACCATATAATAGAGCCACTGTTAAAATACCCATATTTGGGCCGAAACTTAGCCCTTCCGAAGCCCAGTTCGCTTCCCACTCCTGCCCATGGTTGAGAATGTATTTTGTCAAAAGACCCACTTGACTTGGCCCACACAAAACACATTCTGGCCCATGTGAAACCCAATGGTTACTAGGCTTTGGCCCACCTTCTTTTGTCAAGACGTAGGGAACAAACTTTGCTTCTTCCTCAACGGCTGCTAGGCCACATGGTTGGCCCAACAAAACGCGACCCAACGAGAACCCAACTAGAACCCCTTTTGCTCTCAGCCTGTGACATAAACAATCAACTCCTTCAGGCCCATGAGAACAGTTGACCCGAATGTCCTGGCCCAGCGGAGTGGACTCCAACTGCTGATCTGCGACCCGGCTGGATGCGGCCGACCTAGATCTTGCAAGAGGAGAGTCGCCTCCTGCCTCATCCTTCATCTTCTTCTTCCT